GACTTTGGGCCTTTGACCAGGAGACTGGGAGTTCTAGTCCAACCTCAGGCAGGAAAGCCATTCTGGATGACTTTGGGCCTTTGACCAGGAGACTGGGAGTTCTAGTCCCACCTCAGGCAGGGAAGCCATTCTGGGTGACTTTGGGCCTTTCACTAGGAGACTGGGAGTTCTAGTCCAACCTTAGGCAGGAAAGCCATTCTGGATGACTTTGGGCCTTTGACCAGGAGACTGGGAGTTCTAGTCCAACCTCAGGCAGGAAAGCCATTCTGGATGACTTTGGGCCTTTGACCAGGAGACTGGGAGTTCTAGTCCCACCTCAGGCAGGAAAGCCATTCTGGATGACTTTAGGCCGTTGACCAGGAGACTGGGAGTTCTAGTCCAACCTCAGGCAGGAAAGCCATTCTGGATGACTTTGGGCCTTTCACCAGGAGACTGGGAGTTCTAGTCCCACCCCAGGCAGGAAAGCCATTCTGGATGACTTTGGGCCTTTCACCAGGAGACTGGGAGTTCTAGTCCCACCTTAGGAACGAAAACCATTCTGGATGACTTTGGGCCTTTCACCAGGAGACTGGGAGTTCTAGTCCCACCCCAGGCAGGAAAGCCATTCTGGATGACTTTGGGCCTTTCACCAGGAGACTGGGAGTTCTAGTCCCACTTTAAGACAGGAGAGCCAGTCCTTGGGCCAGTCCTTCCCCCTCAGCCTAACCTACTTTACAGGGCTGTTGTTGTGAGGAAAATAGGAGGAGGAAGGTGTGCGGGATCTGTTTGCTGCCTTGAATTATTTGTAAAAATAGCAAAAGCAGGATACAAACAAATATTTGTTTTTTAAAACAATCCCGATATGCATCACCTACGTATGGGATCCTTGGTGCTCTTTTTAAGTAGGTGGCTTCAGAAGAAGTCCAGACAAGAAGGTATATAGAAAGCTTTTCCCTTCCCTTTGGAATTCAAAGGTAGACTGCGCTGGCACAGAGAGGCTCCCTTTTTTTCCCTCCTCTTCCAGGGCCCTTCCATCACTCCGTTATTAATTCCACCCATCCGGGTAGTATCGGATCCCTGAAGTTAGTAAGCGGCCGTTTGTAATGGTTTTATTTATTAGGTGCTTAATACGAAGCGCGGCAGGGGCGAAAAATAAAGACAACCGATGCCATAAATATTGCAAAGGGTTATAAATCAGGAGGCAAGCAGCTTTCCAAATTAAGTTTCTCAGCTTGAGCAACGCCAGAGCTGTTTGTCTTCCGGAGAGTTCGAGTTTGAAGCTGTTTGTTGGCACAAGGCAGGTTTAAAAGGGGGGGGGGGGGACAGGCCTTTCCTTGGGAAAAAAATGACCTTTTTGACCCCCCCCCCTTCCTTCCAACTCTGCTATTAACCACCTATTTTTCTTCCTAGTTGAATGGACAATGCACAATTATTAAAACTGGCCTCTAGAGTTCCCTTTATTTAGTTCCTGCTTGAGGAAGAAGATAGATTTTGTGCCCGATCCGAGCCAGTGGTTCAGAAACCAAAATTGGTCCTAATGATGAAAGAGGAACTGGACTAGAAATGGGAAAGGGAGAGGACGGGGCGGGTCCAAGGAAATTTGGCTGAATAGACAGAAGAAACAGAAGGATTTGGCTGTTCAGTGCTGCTGAATGGCCCGTGGATTGCGGTCATTGTTGGTCCAACTTTAGCAACTTTAAGACGTGTGGACTACAACTCCCAGACTTCCCCAGCCAGCATGGAGCTTTCCTTCCTTCCTTCCTTCCTTCCTTCCTTCCTTCCTTCCTTCCTTCCTTCCTTCCTTCCTTCCTTCCTTCCTCT